TTCTGACAGCCCAGACGGTTTGATGCCTCTGCTTCTGCCAATGCTGTTCCCTCTGGAATCCCTCTCCCTGCTAGCCCCCTGGTGAACATCTGTCTCTTCTCCATTTTCACTGCAAGTTTTACATCCTCTAACAATTTATCTCTAATTCCTCTTCACTTCCAGATCCAGACTTTCTAGGTAGAGTTCACTACTTCTCCCACTGTGACCTGTTCCGTGTATAGACAACTACATTTGCACTCAAACCACTTTATTATGTAGAGGTTAAGGACACAGGCTTAGAAGTTTGATAGGCTTAGTTTTTAGCTCTGACTGTGCCTCTCTAAATCCCAGTTTCCTTGGGCTGGGGATGTGGCTCAAGCGCTAGCGCGCTTGCCTGGCATGCGTGCGGCCCGGGTTCGATCCTCAGCACCACATACTGACAAAGTTGTTGTGTCCACCGAGAACTAAAAAAAAAAAAATAAATATTAAAAAAAAATTCTCTCTTTCTCTCTCTCTCTCTCCTCTCTCACTCTCTCTTTAAAAAAAAAAAATCCCAGTTTCCTCATCTATAATATTGGGACAATAATAAAAACCCAAGTAGGACTGACAAAAGGATTTAACAGGAAAGGGGCATGCATTCATGATTTATTGCTGCATAGCAAAGTACCCCCCCAGTGCAGTGGGGGTACCAACAATAAACAGTGTCCCCACAGTTTCTGTGAATCAGAAATTTGGGTGTCTAGCTCCAAGTGGTTTGAGTCGGGTGATTCCCACAGTGGTGCAGTCGGTGGGTGGTAGCTAGGGCTAGAATCTTCCAGAGGCCTGACTGAGGCTGGAGGCTCTGTTTCCAAGGTGGCCCAGTCATGTGGCTGTAGGCAGCAGCTTTCAGTTCCTCCCCATGGGACTCGACTTGAGTGTCTTTATTACATGGCAGCGGATTCCCATAGAGTAAATGATCCAAGAGGAAGCAAGGCGGAAGCTGCGATGTCATTTATATCCGAGCCTCGGAAGTCACACACAGTCATTTCCACAAATCCTATTAGTTACACATGTCAGCCCTCGTCAGTGTAGAAGGGACTACACAAGGATAGGAATACCAGGAGGTGAGGATCACTGGGAACCCTCTTAGAGGCTGGCTACCACAAGTTCCTAGGCTAAAGTTTAACAAAAGCGTATTATAAAGGCTCAAGAAGCAGTCTTTGCTATCATTATTAATTCATACATGAGTATTCCTTATTAGAAAATAAACCCCCGTAGGTCAGAAATGATGTCTTGGGGCTGTTTGTATTCTAAGTGCCTGCGGTATATGCAGTATATGCAGGTCCACGCTAAATGTTGAACACAAGAATGGAGCCTTATTAGTCTGGTGGCAGGCTCAGAGTGAATGGGGAAGGAACTCACACAGAGATGTTAAGTATGATTCTGCAACTCAGCCATGTTACTGGAAATACCCACTGTATAAAATCAAATCCTGACAGTTTCTCACTTTTTTTTTTTTCCTTTGGTGGTGCTGGGGATGGAACCCAGGGCCTTGTGCATAGGAGGCAAACACTCTAGCAACTGAACTATATCCCCAGCCCCAGTATTAAGGATGTTGAATACCAAAGCGGCAGGCAGGGCAGGGGTATGTCTTATGATTCTCTTTGGAAAAGTGGCTCCGAGTGGCATTTTGGTAGGGAACAATAGTCCCAACTCTGTGATCAAAAGAGTGGCTCCACTGCTCTTTAATTCCCTGGGCCAAGGTAGACATGGAAGCCTCTTGATATTTTTGTTATATTCAAATCCCTGCATTGATGGCTCTTTTCTAGAAGAATTTCTCCTTCTAGAAGACTCTGATGCGCATTTTCTTAGTGTTCATGCAAAGGTGCACAGAGTTTCATATCAGAGTTCTGCCCAGCTACTGCGGCCCTCTAAGAAGACTGGGGTCTGAGTCTGCAAGGTAACTGATAGCCCGGGCAATATTGAGTTTCTAGCCTTCTAGCTCAGACTGGAACTTTGCTCCCACCCCTCGGGCTTGAAAGTTCACCAATTGTCCTTTTCCCTCAGACAGAGCCCTCCCTGCTTATTGGTGCTGTGCTCCTGTGCCCCACTTCCCAACATGTTGCACTCCCTTGAGGCTGCCCCTTCAGGAGCCACACAAAGAGCCTGGAGGAGGCAGGTGTCCTCGCAGAGATTTCCCATGTAGATCAATTTCCCACTTGCCAGAGGTCTCATTTCTCCCCGGTTCCTTGAAATCCTAAACAAGTGACTTTAATTGTCTTTTATCCTTCCTTAAAGCTAGAGGGACTGGGGTGAGACAGGGAAAAAAATCTCCTGTTGGAGTGGAGGGAGCTTTGTTGCACTGAACATTATTTTGCCTCTGGATAATAAAAAGAAGATTGTGACATGCGAATTATGGATGGGAGCCAGACAATATTTAAATTATATCTAGGTCACCAAGAGGGATTCTGAAAGGAAATTAAAAATGCTTATTGATCAAAACAAAAAAAATTTTCATAATTGAGCCTCTTGCAAACCATATTACATATCTTACATATCGGAGTCCATTGTAATCCAAGGCAACTGGACTCTGGACTGACTTTTTTGAAGGAACCTCTTTTATGGTATCTCCTTCACCTTCCATTAGGATTTAACCAGAAGAGAACATTCTTAATAGAGATAGCATTGAGATATATGGCCAGTGGGAGAGTTGGGAACTTATGCATGCGTTTTTTTTTTTTTTCTTTTGGTAGTGAGAACTGAACTAAGGGGTGCTCTACCACTGAGCTACATGCCCAGCCCTATTTATTTTTTATTTTGAGACAGGGTCTTGCTAAGTTGCTGAGGCTGGACTTGAACTTGTGGTCCTCCTGCGTTAGCCTCTAAAGTCATTGGGATTACAGATGTGTGCCACCCTGTGGGTGCTGGGCAGCATGAGTTCTTTGAGTGTGAGATCAAGGTGACAGAGCTGGGCAAATGTGACTATTGATTTTCAAATCCCTCTTCCACCTAGCTGTGGAGAGAATTGTGTCATTCCTGTTAGAAAACCCAGCCAAAGTGTTCCCTTGGAGACGGAAACACAAAATAAGTTTTTAAGAAACATTTTTTTTTGGGGGGGGGGAGGTATCAAAAGAATGTTAACAAGATAGTTGGTTAAGTTATACAACAAAGTTAAAAATAAATACTTACAACCAGTTGAAATATTTAAAAAGATGCCAACAGAAAATATGGAGCTCCCAGAAGGGAACCAGGGAACGGGGCAGGAAAGACACAATGAAAGGATGGCATGGGAATCAAATGGAGGAAACGGGACTTTTAACCAATGTTTATTAGAAAAACAACAATCATTGATTAAAACAAACAGATTGTGGTTCTAGGAAAGAGGAAACAGGATGGTCAGCCTAGGAAAGGCTGTGTAATTTGGATAACTGGGTTTTATCCATAGTATCCCTCATTTACTCTGCAGTTAAGATCATTGTTTTCAGTTACTTTCATCAAGTAAATAATAATTTATTGAGCACATGCTGTACACCAAGCTCTGTGTTAAGTGTTGGGGATAAAACACCTATGTATCTTTATAGAGACATAAAATGTGGTCCCAGTTTTACATAAATGCTTAGGCTATGGTCAAAGCAATAAGGCATAATTACAGCTAAAATTCATTGAGTACTGATTATGTATTGAACATTTTCTAAGCACCATAATCCCTTAAGACAGCAGACATATGTTTTGGTCACATTTTTATCTCTGTTGCTTAGGACATAGAGATTCAATAAATATATTTAAAGAATCCTTGTTGAGATGGTGCTTAGCATTTTGCCAGAAGGAGTGGTTGAGAGGTGAGCCATTAAGATGATGATAATTAAGTTAAGCTGTGTATAATTGCTGTGACTGGATGATGCTGGATTGAAACAGGCTGTTTAGTTGTATATAGACCCCTGCTGTCCGGCAATAAGGCGGCTCCTGCTGCCTCTGGCGCCCGCTACTTTTGAGTTCTCCAGGAGTTCCTGTTGAATTCTCGAAGAGCCCGGTGGAGGGTGAGAGAGTGCACATGGATCTGGTGGAGTTTAGGCAATAAAGGAGTTCCTGTTTGAACCTACAAGTGCCTCGTGGCGGCTCGGTTATTTTGTGCCCAGCCAGACTGCGGCAAATCCTTACAACTCTTAAGTGGGTACAATTGCTCACCTTATTTCACAGATGAGGATACTGAGGTCCAAAGAAGTGAAGCTCTTGCTCATCTTCAAAGTTAGGAAGCAATGGGACAATGAACCCAGGAAGTTGTATAAAGTACTGCACAATTCTAACTCTTGATAAGTATTGGAGTAACCAAAATGAAAGGTGGGAAGTTGTGTTTTCTAATAAACTGCTATGGAAGAGAGGAGAGGGAAGAGGAGGCTCACTGAAGGGGATAGCATTTTGATTGGGTCTTAAAATGTGGGTTAGATTTCCATAGATGGGTGCAAGGGACTATGTCTTCACCATGGAGGGACATCATGAGTTGGCACTCAGAATTGGAAAAGTGAAGTGTGTATTTGGAGAGTTTTGCAACTGCAGTTTGCTGGGTTGGATTGGAAACTGTGAGGAGCAGGGCTTCTCACACTGTCAGGTACACAGGGGTACCAGGGGCTCTTGCTAAACTGCCCTTTCTGATTCAGCAGATCCTCTAGGTAGCCCCTGGTGAGGCCAAGGCTGCTGATCTTGGACCACACCATGAGTAGTTGGCTCTAGCAGGCCTTGCTTTCCTGGCTCAGAGGAATGGGTTTTCCTTGGTTAGCCCAGAACTTCATGGATGAATTTCAAGCAGGGAAATAAGACTTCAAAGGCAGTTTGGTAGTAGTAGAGTAAGATGCTCTGCAGCAAACCTGGGCTTTGGTTCCTTAAGCTGCAAACTTGTAACCCTCAAAATTCAGAAACTCAATTGAGTCAGGGTCCAGGCAGGGAAACAGAAACCTCAGAGAAAATGAACAGATAATTTAGCCCTGGACCTCCGAATATCACTTTCTCACCAGACCTGCCTAAAAACTCTTCTTTCCTTTCTCTAGGACTGCCTGGAGCAACATCTGTTCTTATCCTCTAGTGGTTAGAAGAGGAGCTAAAACATGGGCTTGACCTTGCACTCATCTTGTAGGCTCGTCCAGGCTGGGCCCTGTCACCCAGCCTACTCAGAGCTACTCACGGAATGAAAAATGCTGCTAATATCAGTCTGCTAAAAACATCATCAGGAAATTAAATCTGTGGCTTTAAAAAAAATCCCACACTGATTTTTCTGGCACTGGTGTGTCTCCCAACTGGGATCTCTCCTTCTGCCTGGGGGCCTCCTTCCGGCCTCCTCCCTCCTCTCTGGGCTCTCCCCTCTGCAGCCTCCCTGCCTCTCCTCCCTCCTTTCCTTCTTACCCTGCAGGGTCTGCTGGCTTTCTTCTCCCTGGGCTCCTCCCTGTGGCTTTAGGCTTCCCTTCCTGTCTCCGGGCTTCCAGCTTTTCCACAGCTCCACGGAAGCATCTGTCTGTCTCTATTTCACTTCCCATCAGGGAATCCTAAATGCTGAATAGGCCCTTCAGAGTAGGCCCTGAAGGGGACTTGGCTAGGGGAGTGGGGGTGGGGGCGCTGGGGACCTGGCAAGGCCATACAGAAGCCCATTGATAGGCAGCCCCTCAACACACACAACCCAGTCCAGCCTCCATGGCTCCGGGTGGAGAGAGGCATCCCTTGAGGCTGTGGCCAACATCCTGGCCACCATGAATGACCTCAGTGTCTCTGGCTGCCTGGGGGAACTTCGCCCTGTGGCCTCCAAATCCTTCAAGCCCATCGGCCTCACCATCGGTGTGAATAGATTCGTCTTGAAAATAATGGTCGGGACACCTCCATCCATCAGTGGTGCTGATTTCACTAATTGGAAGAATCAGCTCTTTGTGGCCCATGGTGGGATCCGGAGCCAAGACACACGGAACACTTTTCCCCAGTGACCCAGAGACCCTTGGACGAACTCCTGGGTGCCATGAAAATGGATCGTTTTGCAGAAAGAATACCATTGGATGTTTATTTA